AGACATGTAATAAACAAAGAAGAGTTACATAATACTCATCTTCTAACAGTGAAACAGCAGCCTCATGACAGTAATATAGTTTTGAATATAATTTTAGTAAGACGAAATATAGTTTACTACTACTTACAATCTAAATTCGTATGATCAACAGTATCTGCAATGATTTTCAGAAATCACAAATGTAACAGTAAGACGTAGGAAACAAGCGACACATGAAATGTCGGAAATCCATAAAGCGCATTGATTGCAAAAGTTCTGGTTTTGTGGTCTATCTTGCGACACCACCAGTGTTTAGCATCGAATGGTAGAGGTAAAGTTATCCCTGTGCTAAATTTATTAAGCATTACAACATGAAGAGAAATGGGGGAACGGAGGTAAAGTTCCACCGTTCTTCACCGTGGCAATAGATGAAGCTGCACGCCCAGGCCGCTTTACCCCTGGAGAAAAAGTCCTCGGTACCCATTAGATAGGAGCTTAAAGGACCCCAGATCTGGTCTGGACGCTGTGGAGAAGAGTAAAACCGTGTCCATGACGTAAATAAAACCCAGGCCGTCCAGCACGTAGCCCGCCCCTACACTGACTGAGCTATCCTGACTCCTAGCGTTCAATAGTAGGATGATTAATTTGTGATGTATTCGAAAGGAGAAGGAAGCGTTAATGGCCCGATTGCGATACTATTCTGGCATTTCCCCGGAACTGAGGAAGACCACGAAAAGCCTCGGTTATGATAGACATTGTTGCGGCTAAGATTAGAACTGGAGCGCCTTCCGATTACTAGTCTAGAATCTTACCGCTCACACTAACCTGCTCGGTTCCTACCGCGGCGGCCCGGGTTCGATCCCGTGTCTGGTCAAGTGGGATTTGTGGCGGACAAAGTGGCGCTGGGGCAAGTTTTCTCCGAGTACTTCGGTTTCCCCTGCCAATCTTCATTCCACAAAATTCTTCATCATCATAATCACCCGGGGCAGGCTACAATAGGCCAATCAGTGGCCTCCGTGCTGAGTGGACCCAGATGGACTCCACCCCCCCACTAAACGAATTAAATACAAAAACCTGCTCGGTTGATTAGACAGTTCAAGGGAAGGAACGACTTGAAACAGATTACTACAAGGGCAGACATGCTAGGATAATCTTGAAAGTGATAAAATACATGTTTCGAGAACGAACGCCTCTGTGGTCTAGTGGTCAGAGTTCCTGGTTACAGATACAGAGGTCCGGGTTCGATTCTCGGCGCTACCAGATTTTCTGAGAAGTAGTGGGTCTAGAACGGGGTATACTTAGCCTCGTGAGGATAATTAAGGAGTTATTTCAAGGAATAGCGGCTCCGGTCTAGAAAACCGAAATTAACCGCCATGGGGATTCGTTGCGCTGACCACGCGGCACCCTCTATCCGCAAAAGTTGGCACACAAATATAACAGACCATAAATACATCAAAATTTGAAAACGGATATTTTTTCGGTATTTTGGTAGAACTATAGGCATATAAAGGGATGAGATTAAATGGGCACAGCAATGCATCTAGAACAGCCTGGCCGTCTTAAAAATGCACAAATTTAATTACAGTTACTAAGTTTACAAGATGGTGTGCGAAGTTCAGTATATTGTATATACTGAACTTGCTGCGCAGAAAAACTTAATGACTTCAAGGTCAGCGAAAAGAAAAACAAGTTATTCGATGCAGCTAGGATCAGTAGGAAGGCCACAATGAAAAAATGCGAGTGTTCTTTATAAACACTTCGGAAGGAATTGTAGCTTTCCAGTCTTGTTGCTTTTGGCACGTTAGAAACAAAACGCTCAAGAAATATGCCCCCAGTTGCCTCGCTATCTGTCTCTCAGCTCGAGAACCGCTAAACAGATGTTCCTGAAATTTTGTACTGGGGAGTTTTATTTGTGTGCGTATGTTAAGGCATGCAGACCCTGAGCAATACTGTGCATCAATATCGAGTAAAATCCTAAACTAAATTTATGACAATCGCAGATTTCAGGTGTCTCTCCAGTTTTGCCTACCGGAGGTTTAATTTTATGTATCCACACTGAAACAGCCTGTGGTTTCCATGCTAAGAGAGCCATATTCTCTGGAAGCAGGGCTGTAAAGGCACACAATACTAGTTCTATAACTTCTAGCAACTTTATCGCTGTGCATCATTCTTTTACTCATATTTGTGCACTCGTGTTTTACGATTAAAGTTGTTACAGAGTTTCTATGGAAAGAAAGGGGAACTTAGGTTTTGACGAGCGTAAGCAGCGATCATAATTTTCTTACACCGCAGTTTCTCTTAATGCCTTGCTTACAGAGTTTCTATGGAAAGAAAGGGGAACTTAGGTTTTGACGAGCGTAAGCAGCGATCATAATTTTCTTACACCGCAGTTTCTCTTAATGCCTTGCTTTTTCAAACCACGATTTTGCCAATGCCTGTGTTCTTCAGGAAAGTAGCCTTCAATCTGGCAATGGATTACTGAACTCTCGACGTGACTAATCACGTTGAATAAAAGGCTCTTACACCACATTCGACATCATATTTTATTATGGATCATGATTACAATTACAATGGACCCATACCGATAGATTAACTCGAATATATTTGTAACTTTCATAGAGACGTGAATTAAGGCAGACGTATGTATACTATATTGCTGTGGGTATTCGTTGCGCTGACTGCGCAATACCCTCTATCCGCTAAAGTTGACACTATCTTCGCCGACAAGCAGCGGTCGCTCGGTCGGTATACTTCGCTTGCGGACTATAAACCACGGACTTTGCTTTTTGTTCGTTTTTTGTAGTACCTTGTATACGAGTATATTGTATTTTCACCCTAAAACACACGCATATGGATAGCGTGATCGTTGTAGATTACAGCTCTCGGACACGATTTCACTGAAAAACTATCTATATTTCACAGGCCTTTGGATTCAAAAATAAATTTAAATTATTAATACGTAAATGGTATTTGTTAAATGCCCGTTATTGCTCTGCGTTTAAATATCCGTTCCTGTTAGGGCGCTTGCGCTGTATTTGAAAATGTTGTATCTAATATAATTTTGATGATAAGTGAATGGAATTAACTTTTTTATCAACAAAGAACACAGTGTCGCATATTATAACGTAAGAGTTGAAAATATGTAAACAGAAAGTTATAAACTGTTTTTAATTTTTTTCTTCTAATTTGATGCATACTGCAAAAATAGTTTCCCACTTCTTCATATAGTTGTTCTGCATTATAAAATCATTCCTACTTGTAACACTTGAAATATTTTCGCATTCTCCGATGCCATAAAACAGTTGGAAGCATTAAAGTCATTTGGTTCTCTACTGGCAAGTTTCATATCTTTGTTACACACTTCAGATAGTCCAATCTTTTGACTAAAGGACAGAAAAGTGAAAATATGGCCTTTCGAAAAAGCTAGAGTGAATATTCATTGTTCCTTACTTCAGTACCAAGCCCTGCCAATGCAGCTGCAGGAGAATATTGCCCTTTCTGTGTCTGCAAACAAACGCCTGCATTGCAGCTCAGATATAGAGTGCATTCAGTTTTCTGTGAGTTCATAGTGAACTTGAATATTGTAAAGAAAGTAGTCTTCTGGGATTTGGCACCGTGTATATGTGGTGTTAACCGACGTTCCTCCGAAACGTCGGTTAACACCACATATNAGGCGAGATTCAGTTACGTGATGCGAGGGCTGAAGCCTGTATATATGTGAAGCAGATAACAACAAAAAATGTATGTATAATGAAATTTACTATATTTAAAAATAAATATTTAGGATTATGCATACGCTTCTACTAGCGGCGTGTGCGCGAGCTTCCACTAGCCCGAATGCACAATTTGGTACTCGGGCATTTAAATAAACTCCGGCCATCTCAAGCTACCACCATTTCAAAAGTCTAGGGTTTGGAAGTTAGATGATTTAACTCCATAGGAAGGCCGCGCCATAGCTCCAGCGGTTAGTCGCTGGTTTCCCACCACGTCGGCACGGGTACGATCCCGTGTCTGGTCAAGTGGGATTTGTGGTGGACAAAGTGGCGCTAGGGCGGGTTTTCTCCGAGTACTTCGGTTTGCCCTGCCAATCTTCATTCCACCAAATTGTCCATCATCATAATCACCCGGGACAGGCTACAATAGGCCAATCAGTGGCAACCGTGCCGAGTGGACCCAGTTGGAAAAACACCCCCCACTAAACGAATTAAAAAAAAAATAATTCCGTAGGGAGTCACTCCTTAGTTTAGAACTTCAATACATTTCAGAATAAAATTATTTAGGCTAAACAATAAACTTTAAGTATCCGATGTAAAACGGCGATTTAATTCAAGCATATTTAGACAATAACACTGTTGTTAATCCAGAGGAACTTCACTACCTAGGGAGATGTCTGAAAGGAGTTGGTCTGTATTGGGTCTACACATCTCCTTTATAAAATAATACCCTGCCAAGGAGAAATGTCAGAGAGCCTAACATTTACTTAAACATATATGCTGTACGCTGAAATTCATTTCCCAATGATGTCTTACTCGTAGGTCAAATATCCGGCATAGATCTACGTGTATATCTGTTTACTTTCTAAAGCCGGCGAGATGAGGAGAACCACATTGCACATATACCAACATAGAAGTATTATTTTGTTGCCGAATGTGCTTGAAATTCCAAAAACAACAGAAATAAATCATTTATAAATAACTACGATCTATAAAACAAAGTTTTACATAAACACATTCTGAATCCTTGTTACCCTTCTTACATGCTTTTGTTACTCGCAAGTTCAGTTGGTAGAAAAGGACATACATTTTACGGGGCAGTTTGGAAAGGTAGATTCTAAAGGATTCTGTGTGTTTGGAATGGATTCATAAAAATCCACGATATACACTTCACAGAATTGAAGCAATGCATTGATATCAATGACTGTTCGCTCATTCCTGATCTATCATGAAG